CTAAATCCCAAACGACACTCTATAAACCACAACCCGAAACCCCTCAGAGCTCTCAAATCTAAGCGCCTCACCCGGATTGATAGGGTTTAGGGTTGATAGGGCCCTGAGAGACCTCATGTGTAGAGCTTATATAGGTCTTAGAGGGTTTATACGGCTTGTAGGGTTTGTGGGGTTTGCAGGATTGAGGGTTTAAGGAAGCTCTTTTGGGTTCATGGGTTCCGGATTTGGCTTTGTGCATTTCAACGGCGACTTTGCGTTGACAGAATATACTCGTGCAGCTACCGCTGGATGATTGCTTCAGTAGAGGGCCGTTGAGCAGGCTATACAGCGTGTTTTAGTTTAGAGTTTACCATGTAATTGTTCAGAGCATAAAGTACTATTGCGCCTATGCACAACACAATCGAAACAGTGGACGAGATCGCCAAAGGATCACTCTATGTTTATCTTCTTGTAGATGTCATGGCCTGCGCCAGTAGACAAAAGCAGATGCTGGTCGAAGGCGAAGGGACTTCAATACAAAGCCGAAGCTGACCTAACATCCGATGCCAACGATTGCTACTAAACCAGGAAAAAGCAGTTCGACGAGTTTATGCCTGTCTTCTGCGCGCCTCATAGACAAGGTGACCCCCTAAACCATAAATCCTGAACTCCATGACTGTCTTCCGCGCCCCTAAACCCCAAACCCTAAACCCTAGACCCTAAACCCTAAACCCTAAACCCTAAACCCAGCCGAGTATCACAGGTGAGTGGTGCGCCGTCAGGGGTGGCTCGGCCATGCCGGCGATGTAGGCGTCGCCGACGGTTTCAATCTGCCGGATAGGGTTTAGGGTTTAGGGTTTAGGGTTTAGGGTTTAGGGTTTAGGGTTTAGGGTTTAGGGTTTAGGGTTTAGGGTTTAGGGTTTAGGGTTTAGAGTTTAGGGTTTGGGGTTTAGGGTTTAGGGTTTAGGGTTTGGGCTTTAGGGTTTAGGGTTGGGCATAGGGCTTAGGGCTTAGGGTTAAGACGCCAAACCCTAAACCCGACAACCCCTACAACCCATGATGCCTAAACATAACCGCTGACCCTATAACCCCCTGACCCCTAAACCCTGGGAGCCTTCACCCCTTAAACGTTCGTCGACATTGGGCTTCAGGGTCACCCATGACCCCCGAACCGCGGTTCAGGGCTTGGGACGTTGAGGTTCAGGATTGGTTTAGGGTTTACGGTTTACAGTTTAGGGTTTAGGTTTTAGGGTTTAGGGGCTGGGCCTTGTTCTGAAATTGACTAGACTGTGCCGTCGGGAGCCCTTTTCAAGAGGGATGCCACAACTTCTCTTATGGCACCCTTCACGGGACCCACGGGAGCCCTTTTCAAGAGGGATGCCACAACTTCTCTTATGGCACCCTTCACGGGACCCAAATCGTGATCAAACCCCATGTGCGGCTTTGGGAGCTTGAAGGGCATGGGGATGCAGAAGTCGGAGTTAAGCTGGTCCTCCCTTCCTGAAGTAGCAACAGCTTGGTATGTATGTCATCATATAATATATAAACCCCTTGTCCCCTGTTACGGCTGCTGCTGTCATGGGACAGCATCCTGATGAGGCTTATGGTTGCTACCATCCCTGAGTTTTTGGGATTCTGACGGCCTTGTAGATTGCCAGGTAGTCGGTCAAATCATCGAAGATCTTGAAGATCTGCTCGATGAGGCTTACCACCTCTCTCACGGAAACTGTGAAGCCACCGAGCCCTAAACCCTAAACCCCAACTCCTAAGCCCCAAGCCCTGAACCCTACACCCCAAACCCATCGGTCCCCAAACCCCCAAATCCTTGACCTTAGCCCCCTGAAGCTCCACTGCCTTGGTCCACACAACTGTCCCCCACATGAATGTTTAGCAAGATGTCCAAGACTCCATTCCCAGGCCCCCCGGCCTTAGGGTGTAGGGTTTGGTCTCCCAAAATGGGAACCCGAAACTGCTCGGTTGTTCAGTTTCCCAGCTAAAGCCCAAACCTGACCCCTAAACCCAAAACCCTAAATCCCAACCTGATCTCAGCATCAACACCCGATACCCCAGACCCTATAAGCCCCTGACCACAACCCCGGAGCCAAGACCTCGAACCCCCAGCCTCAAACCTCAAACCGCCAACCCTAAACCGTTAACCCTAAACCCTAAACCCTAAACCTTTCCCCCCTCCTCCCTCCCTGGAAAGCCGCCTCATCTGGCTCCCGGGAGGCTGCCATCTCTGTAAACCCCACAAGGTCCGCTTGCACCTCGGGGGTGTGTTTTCTGAGTTTTAGGGTGTAGGGTGTAGGGGTTTAGGGGCTTAGGGGTTTAGGGTTTAGAGGTTTGACTAGTTAGGGTTTGGGGTGAGCTTTTTGGTGTTCAGGGTGACAGGAACATGCGAATTCCCACAATTTTAACGTTTGAAACAAAGTCTTCTCTTAGCACTATGCATCCCGAGCATATCTTAGAGCTTGCGCAGTGGCCCAACACCTTGCCCAACAAAGGGGAGCGTTCTTGATTGGTGATCGGGGGGGAGAGGAAAACCTAAACCCAAAAACCTGAACACGAAACCCTAACCCCGAAAGCCCACACCCCTAATCAAAGCCTGAATATGCAAACCCCAAACCCTAAACTTTCACACTGGATGCCTCCCCAATAAGGCTGAAAGCGCTTTGCATTTGGCTTGTTTTCGGATTGTCGGGTTTGGCGCGACCGTTTGGGGTTGGGTTTGGTGTGTACGCGTGTTTCGCTTAGGGTTATAAAGCTAAGGGTGCTACGGGCTTTTCAGCAGCAGGGTGAATGTCTGGCCTCTGGCCTAAACAACCATGTAGCTTGGAGCTGCCCTGGGACAGTTTAAACGCTGGGTCCTTGGCGATCTGAACCGACATGCTGGCATGGCGCTCCCTGTCATGACTGCCTACAGGACCCCCTGAACCCTCAACCCTGAACCCGAAAGTTCAAACCCTAAAACCCTAAGCCCTAAACCCTAAATCCTAAACCCCTGATAAGGGAACACTACTATATTCGGGGTCCCTTACCCTACCCTAAGCCCTAAGCCCTAAACCCTAAACCCTAAATCCTAAATCCTAAACCCTAAACCCTAAATCCTAAACCCTAAACCCTAAACCTTAAGCCCTAAACCCTAAACCCTAAACCCTAAACCCTAAATTTAAACTCCACTCCAAGCTCAGGCACAATCGTGGCCATGCGGTACTTGTGCGATGGCAGGGGGACGTCCTCAGAAGCATAATGGGACCGTTTTAAGGGTCGGATCTAGGTCTCTCCTTGGGCTCTGTGCAGGGTTTAGGGTTTAGGGTTTAGGGTTCAGGGTTTAGGGTTTCGGGTTTAAGGTTCAGGGTTTAGGGTTTGGGGTTAGGTAGGGTTTAGGCTTTCGGGTTTAGGGCTTCAAGATCCCATCTTGTTCTTCTGCTTGACTGTGGCTGGGAGGTGTTTTTTCGACTTCTGCGCTGGAGCAGCACATGCCGGGTGCCTGGTCGACTGGTGCATCTGAGTGCCAGCCGAGGGTCAGGATTCTCCGCGATCTCCTTCACGACCTGCAAAGGTTTAGGGTCGGGTTTAGGGTTTAGGGTTTAGGGTTTAGGGTTTAGGGTTTAGGGTTTAGGGTTTAGGGTTTAGGGTTTAGGGTTTAGGGTTTAGGGTTTAGGGTTTAGGGTTTAGGGTTTAGGGTTTAGGGTTTGGGTGTACCCTAGCAGCCTCATCCTTGAAACCTAAACTAAACAGTACCTTGACTCTCCAAGCCCTAAGGCGCCAGGCGCCCCGAAAAGACTGCTTAGGCCTTGGGCTCGAGTAGGCCTTTCCAGAATGCCTCGACCCTGAATTCTCTCAACCGGAAACCATTAAAGCACCAAAAGCCCTAGACCCCAAAACCCTGAACACCCCCAAAACCCAAACACCCCAGCTAACCAAACCCGAAGCCCAAACCACAAAACCCTAAACCTACTACCCTAAACCCTAAAACCCCAAACCCTTACGCCTAAACCCTATACCCTGAATCCGCCTGTTTTGGCATCATGGTGTCGAGGATGCTGTGGACACGAGTCCTGGACGCGGAGCAACAACCTGGGCCCTTGCCTCCCGCCTGTAGGGTGAAAGGGTGACGGGTTTTTGAAGGTTTAGGGTTTAGGGATTGGGGTTTAGGGTTTAGGGTTTAGGGTTTAGGGTTTAGGGTTTAGGGTTTAGGGTTTAGGGTTTAGGGTTTAGGGTTTAGGGTTTAGCTGTGTAACCCCGCAACCCCATACCCCGAGCTCCCAAACCCTCAAGCCCTCAACTCCTGCTTAGCAGCTAGGTCTTGAGGTAGCCTTGTTCCTATTTCTTCCAATCGGCATGCAGCATATAGATGCATTCGATATATTGATATATGTACATATGCATATACACATGCACACACACAACATTCCTAAGCAAGAATACCTGCACTCACCCAAACCAGCATTAAACAAACGATCAACATGAACAAGAACAAAACGAACTGAACTCATACCCTAAACCCACAGCCCAAACCCCAAACCCTAAACCCTCAACCCTAAACCCTGAACCCTAAACCCCAAATTCAGACATGGGGCATGACTTTCTCCACGGCACATCCCGCTGCGTGCTGCGTGCGAAACAGCTTCTCCTCCTCTTGGCAAGTGGGCGCAGAGTCAGCTCGAAGGTGGGTTTAGGGTTTAGGGCTTAGGGTTTAGGGTTTAGGGTTTGGGGTTTGGGGTTTGGGGTTTAGGGTTTACGGTTTAGGGTTTGCTGCTTTACACACGACTTTCGGATGCAGTGCGAAGCTCTACTTCGGGGCTCGGCATTCCACTCGGCTCCCGGGTGTATAGCAGCTGTATTTGAAGACTACTTTACACCCTAAACCCTAAACCCTAAACCCTAAACCCTATACCCGAAGATAACGACCCAGGTCTGCTGGGAGCCTGGAAGGAGTAGAACTGCCGCAGGAGGTTGAAGCAGAAGAAGTACCACAGGTCCTATTGTGTTTGGAGGATCGAGGCGCGGCACATTCACGAGGGAGGAGTGGAAGTGGGCGCTTCGGGTTTCATAAGGCACTTCGTCTAAGGGTTTCGGGCGCTCCGGTTTGAGTTCATTCCTGCGATGGGAGGGGTGTAGAGAGGGCGGCTAGGAGTTATAAGCCTTCCGTCTGCGGGAAAGTTCGCCTGAACCTGAGGCATGTTGAGGCATCCACCACATAGAAGCCTCAACGCGTGCGACTATCATTGCCTCAAAGGCACCTGAGGGGCTGAGGCTTTAGGGTTTAGGGTTTAGGGTTTAGGGTTTAGGGTTTAGGGTTTAGGGTTTAGGGTTTAGGGTTCTGAACGCAAGATTCATTGTGTGTGACAGAGGCTGTCTTAGCGTCAACATACTCACCTGCGAGTCTGTCTTGTGTGACCGGGGTCCCGTCAACCAGATCTTCACCTGGCGCCCTGGGTTTTTTTTGGCAAAGAAGAGGGGTTGGTGGGGCACGGATGACCACCTGAGCACCGCCACCGCGCAGCCCGGCCGTGTAGCGAAGCAAACCTTAAACCCCCAAAGTCCTAACACCCTCAACCTTCAACCATGAACCTAAACCGCACACGATCCCGAAACTCCAAGCCCTGGACTTAGTTCGACCGAGCCCGCGACGCCATAGGTCGGTAGGAGGTAGAGCCTGAAGCTGCTACTGGTAGGGAACTAGGTGACCAGTCCTTGTCAAGTGAACCTCTGTAGGGGGGGGGACACAGGAAGGGACCCTCCAGGGTGTAGGGTTTATGTAGGGTTGCCCCAGCAGTAGGCAACATTCTTTACATCGAAGTGGGGGGGGGGGGGGGGGGGGCCTTAGGGTTTAAGGGTCAAGTGTTGAGGAGTTTTCTGTTTTAGGGGCTGTCCTTTAGGGTCTGAGAGGCTTTGTGTCTGATACTGTCCCAAGGCACTTAATCAGGGCAAGGCGCCCAGGGAAGATTCGCCAGTACTCCACGGACATGATAAACAGGGTGCCCAGAAGGAAGACGCAAGAGGGGAAGAAGCGGAATGGGTAGGCGGTGATGGTCATCATGTACCTATTGAAGGCGTCTGCACTCAGTGGATCGGGATTCAACAGTTGGGCCTCTTCTGTCTGCTTGAAGGGGTTTAGGGTTTAGGATTCAGGGCGTGGAATTTGCATGGCTTGGGCACGGGGAATCTCAAGCCCCCGACAGTTGCGTGGCCTTTGGGAGCTTGGATGCTAAGCCCTCTGCCCATACGTACGTGGACCCGTCAGTGCTCCGAGGGGTTTAGGGTTTAGGGTTTAGGGTTTAGGGGGTTCAGGGTTCACAGGGTTTAGGGTTCTACGGAACTCATCTTGGCGGAGGCGGCAGCTTAGTCATTCTAGTTATAAGGGGTATAAGTAGAGACCCCGAGAAGGTACCCTGAATCTTATTGCTCTATGTAACCCCCCATCTATACCCCATCTACCTAAGTAGCTCCAAATTAACCCCTACATTACCCCATGTAGTCGAGGGTCCCGCCGTGAGTGCCTTGATTCTACAACGACCCGGCCAGGCAATCCTGAAACTCTCCGATGTCAAAAACAATCTTGAACTTACCAAGTGCGTGGTGCAGACCCACATGGTGCACCTATGTGCGTTCACACCACATCTCTACCAAACCCTAAGCCCTAAGCCCTAAGCCCTAAGCCCTAAGCCCTAAGCCCTAAGCCCTAAGCCCTAAGCACTAAGCCCTAAGCCCTAAACCCTAAACCCTAAACCCTAAACCCTAAACCCGAAACCCTAAACTCCTGAACTCTGAGTAGCAGGCACAGGAAACGCGATGAGCCTGGCGGATCCGGAGCATCTTCGTTCCGCAAAGGGGCACAAGAGTTGAAACCCTCGGATGCTCCAAAAAAAACGATTTAGACAACAACGACGTTTATGGTTTAGGGTTTAGGGATTGGGGTTTAGGGTCTAGGGATTTAGGGCTTAGGGATTAGGGTTTAGGGATTGGGGTTGACAGCGACTGCAGTTGCAGGGTTGTTTTGGTGCCTATGGCTTGTCATCTTCAGGCAAAGCGGGCCGACGACTTCGCTGTCACTCAGCCCTGAACCCTGAACCCTGAACCCCAGGCGAGTGACTTGCAAAGGCACGGGCTCTCCGGGAGAATTCCCAACATCCTAAACCCTAAGCCCTAAGCCCTGAACCCTAAACCCTAAACCCTAAACAACTAAACAACGGGCCAGGTAAGGTTCTGGATGTATGGCTGCCCCCGAACAACCCTACACCTGGACACCTGGACACACGGCTTTTCAGGGCTTAGGATTTTAGGGGTTAGGGTTTAAGGTTTAGGGTGATTTAGAGTTCAAAGTACACTCTACACCTGGACACAATGCTTAGTGACTTAGTGTTTGGGGCCTAGGGCTTAGGGTTCAAAAGTCTGCTAACATGGCCCTTAGACCCCTTTGAAAAGTCCTAATTGTCATCCAATAAGGGAAAAGAGCAAATGTCCCAAGGGCCCACCCAGTCTGGAACCCTAAACCCTAAACCCTAAACCCTAAACCCTAAACCCAAAACCCAAAACCGCGCAGGCACCAACACAGCACAACGGTGCGGCCTCGTGATGTTTCTGGAAACACCTGTGGACGTCTGCGGAAAGCTGAGAACTTCGGGGTCTGAGGGCTGGCAGGCTTAGGATGCTAGGGTTGAAAAAGCGTAGGGTTTAGGGTTTAGGGTTTAGGGTTTAGGGTTTAGGGTTTAGGGTTTAGGGTTTAGGGTTTAGGGTTTAGGGTTTAGGGTTTAGGGTTTAGGGTTTAAGGATTGCTGGCTCCCATGCAGCAGGACGTTACACTCGGGGGTGTCCGATTCCAGCTTGGGAAGCGCGCTTCGTGTCCAGTCTGCAGCAAGGAGACCAAGAAACCAGAACCCCCAAACCCCAAACCCAAGACCCTAACCTCAATCGTAAACCCTAAGCGCGAAACCCTAACTCTCCGAACCCTGAAATCCTACTTGCCCCTTTAGACCTTCCGACGTTGCCTAGACCTACGAATAAATGTGCCCTTGTTGTGTACAAACGGGGCTTATCACGAAAAGAAGGAGAACCGTGGCACCTCGAACCGTCCTAGGAGAGCTTAGGTTCTGGGGATTTAGGGTTTGGGGTTTAGGGTTGCGGGGGGTTTAGGGCACTGCATTCTGAACGCCTGAGATCGGGAAGTCGAGGGGAATGACTTCGTCGATTTGGTGGTTCTTGTCCTCAGCAGAGAAAGCACGGAGCTTCAGGACTCGGGACTAGTTACAGGGTCCCTAACGGAGGACGGTTCATAGGGGGTAGGTACCTGGGGAACCTTAGCGAAGCTTCGGGAGACTTAGGGAGCGTGTGGAGTATTCGGGAACCTTGGGCTGCACTCTCGAACCCCCGCCCTTTCGGACCCTATTACTTAGGAAATAGGTTTTAGGGTTGCGGGGCCATGTTGTTGGCATGGGGCTTTCTTGGTGCCGCTTCCTAATGTTACGGCTCTAAGATCTTCCATTAAGGCGTGTAACCCGACAAACATTCTAGAAATGGCCTTCTATTTTGTGCGCGGATGTATTGAGCCCGGATGTACACCTTAACCCTAAACTTTGCCTAAACCCTAAACCCTAAACCCCAAACCCCAAACCCTAAACCCTACGAAGCCCATTTCTTTCGGGGCACTCTGCAGGCAACACCCTAAATCCTTAAGTGGCCAAACGACAAAACACCTCAACCGAAGACACCTGGGATCCTGGGATATTTCAAGGCTAAACTCTAAACCCTAAACCCTAAACCCTAAACCCTAAACCCTAAACTGTAAACCCTAAACCCTAAACCCTAAGCCCTAAACCCTAAACCCTACACCCTAAACCCTAAACCCTAAACCCCAAACCCATTTCGAGGGGCCCCTGGCCCCCCTAAACCCGAAGCCCCAAAGCCGGATGTTGGGGCCCCCGACCCCCACGAAGCGTTGAGGCATCATTTCGTAGGTCAAGAAGAGCAGGCACGACACGAAACAACCTTCGCAGATTGTAATAGGTAGGGGCTTCGGGAATGAGGATCACTCCTTAACAAGTTTCTCTACGTACTTCACTGGCAGGGCTCTTCGTAGTGAATCGGGAGGACCCCGATTCTAAGGGGTAGGGGTTGAGGGAGGTCGGATAACTCCTGAGCAGGTTTCTGCAGATTTAAGGGCTTAGGGTTTAGGGCGCAGATTCTCAATTCCTTAAACGGTGCTGTGCTTCATGTGAGTCTTCTCAATATTTCCGGCGCCCCTCCGATTCGGTATTTCAGCTAAAACCGTACAAACAGCATCCGCCAACAATTGTCCGAGACAAACCCCTAAACCACAAACCCGAAAACTGCAGGGGCTCTGGTGATTGGAGGTGAAGGGTCGGGCTTGGGGCTGAGGGCTCGGGGAGTTTGGGGTAAGGCTGGTGGGTTCTGATGGAACTACGTAGCCACCAGAAACCCTAAACCGTAACCCTCATCCCGAAACCCCTAGCCCTCAGTCGCAAGCCTTTGAAACCAGCATACTCCCAGAACATCGGCAAGCCCATAAGAACTCATCTACGCCTTTGGGCCAGACGGTTTAGGGTTTAGGGCTAGGATTTGGGGTTCAGAGTTCAGGGTTGAGGGGTTACATTCACCCTAAATCCTAAACCCTAAACCCTATAAACCCTAGACCCTATAAACCCTAGGGGAGATATCATGAAGAAGACAGTCCCTTGCGCTCCGAAGTTGCACTGCAACGAAGGTACAGGAGATGACCAGCAGCCACTCGATGACCCGCGCCTCTACTGTCGGGTTTAGGGTTTAGGGGTTTGGGGTTTAGGGTTTAGGGTTTAGGGGTTAGGATTTAGGGTGTCCCTATACAACTATACTATAGCGACCCCCAAAACCCCTGTTCTAGCCTTTAAGGTGCCGATATTTGCTTCTCATAGAACCTTGCAGGGTTGAGGGATTAGGGTCTCAGGGTTTAGGCTTCACGAGGTTTAGGCTTTAGGAACATTTCGTGGTAACTGTCGGGTGCAGCACGCACCTGCGCGGACTATTTTGCAGGCACTTCAGTACCGGAGATGTCCATACTAGCCATAGACCAAAGTAGCCCACAAGAAAAGATTCTACAATTTTGTGGTAGGGTCTCTAGGTAGGCTTTTTCAACGCCACAACGCAGTGCTCCAAACCCCTTGAGGGGCTCGGTTTCTGCCACTTTGGAGGGGCAGGGGGTTTACCCTAAGCCCTAAACCCTAAATCCTAAACCCTAAAACCCTAAACCCTAAACCCTAAACCCTAAACGAGTGTAGGAAGGGGCCGCCTTGGACGCAACCATATCGCTGCAGCTGACCAGGATCCGCCATACGAGGATGATCCTGCCAGGGTGCAGGTCGAGGGCTTAGGGTTTAGGGTTTAGGGTTTAGGGCTTAGTTCTCTAAGCCCTATACACTCTGAGCCCTAAACCCTAAACCCTGACTGAATCCTTAAGGCTTAAGGCTTAAGGTGTACGGTTTAGGGTTTAGGGCATATAGTCCTCTAAGCCCTATACACCCTAAATCCGAAGAAACCCTGAACCCTTAAGGCTAAATGTGTACGGTTTAGGGTTTAGGGCATACGGCTTCCGGGTTTCAGGACCTATCGGATCTTCGGGTTCTAGGGGTTTCGGGTTTGCTTAGACTGTCTGCTTTTGGCCACCCCCCTAAACCTGGAAATTTGCAGATCATAGCCCCGCAACACAAACGCATGTTTTACAAAAATCCTAAACCCTAAACCCTAAACCCTAAACCCTAAACCCTAAACCCTAAACCCTAAAGTTGGGAATCAAAAGCTTCGCGGCTGAACTGTTTTAAAACTGCAGCTTGGTAGTGACAAGAAGGCATGACCCGACGTGTGCGGAGAAGCAAGCATCATGAACCTGAGCCCCTAAACCCTAAACCCTAAACCCTAAACCCTAAACCCTAAACCCTAAACCCTGAACCCTCAGCCAACAGCCCTCTGCACTAAACCATACACCCTTCTACTGCCGCCGAGATACGAAAAACAGATCGAGCCTTTGCAAAGACCAAGGTGGAGTGAAAA